AAAGGTACTTGCCATGTATGCATGATGACTCAAGTTCAATTCCAGAACCCACAGAAAGATATAAGAGAAGTCAGATATGGCTTGGTGGTACATGTTTTTAATCCTTGAACTCAGGAGGCAGAGGCAAGAGAGTCTCTTGAGTTAAGGCTAGCTTGGTCCACAAAGCTACACAGGCTGGTCCCAAAAACAACAAAAAGGGGCTTTTTTTAAAAAAAAAAAAAAAAAAAAAAAAAAAAGCTGACAGACAGAACTGACTCCGACCTCCACACATGTACAGGCACTCATACTAATGTATCAAATACAAACACAATAATAGTAATTTAAAAAATGTGAAGACATAAGGGGAAATGAGAAGGGGTTCAATGGGAGTGGGATGAGAGAGGGTAATGAGGTGTGAAAAGTATCGCATGTGTGAAATTGCCAAAAGATAATTTTAAAAAACAAACTATTTAATTGAATGTCATCCATGGATGAAAAGTTTCTACATCCCATAGGCCTCTCCACTGATGCAGCAATCCAAATCAGACCGAATCAAACCAAATTAAAAAGGCAAAAGTTTAATGGATACAACTCCGGATGGCTTTCCAGCCCCCAGAGACTGAAAAGAGAGACTGGAAAACCACCTGCTGTGTTTATTTTCGGGGGTGGGGTAGTTTAAATACCCCGTGGGGGTGGTCTTGAGCATCTCTGAGGGAGGGATCACCATTTGGCGGGCTTTCTGAGGTGCAGCAGGGTTTGTAGAGAGATAGGGGAGGGGCCTCCGGTGGAACTTCCACCGTAACATCCCAGACTCTTTGGGTACAGGGATGCCAGGGGCTGGGGTGAAGCTCCCACCATAACAATGCTGATGGATTAATGAGGGCAATACTTACACTGACCTGCAGACTCAATGTCGTTTCTTTCAAATACCCATCTAACTTACTTCTGAACTTGCAGAAGTCATGACAGAGTGGTGCTGGCCTAAGTTAAGACATATCAAAATAACCAACGGGATAAAAACCCACCAAATAAACCCGTTCATTCTGCTATTTGGTTTTATTATTTTGTTTTGTTTTGTTTTTTGAGGCAAGGTGTTACACAGTCCAGACTGGCCTCCAACTATCTATCAGAAGATGGCTCTGAATTTCTTGCTCTCTTGCCTCCCCCTTTCCAGTGCTGGGATTACCACTATGCCCGTCTTAATTTTCTTCTTTTTTTTAACTTTTTATTTCCGGAGCTAGGCAAGAGCTCTACCATCGAGCCACACCCCATCCTAAGTAGGACAAAGTACACACCCACTCAAGTGATAAAACTGTGCCTTCCGGCCTCCCCCTGGACAACCTCCATTCTTCCACT